GGAACCTTGCAGTATATAAAATACTTTAAAATTCTTTAATTCTAAATATCTTAGCTTTTATTTATATGCTCATGTATTTACTATGTATGCTATGTGTATGGAGGTCAGAGGACAACTTGCAGGAAGGAGTTGGTTTTGTCCTTTCCACTATGAGGGTCCTAGTGATCAAACTTAGATCATTAGGCTAAAATAATGGAATGCTACTACTGCTTTAGATACCTTGTAAAGAATGTTCCTGGAAGCAGTCTATTCACCTAGTAGGATGCTAGAGTAATATTGTAACACATGATTTGCCCTGGTCAGGGGTTAAAGGCCCAGAATTGAAAAGACTGCTCTAAGAGCTAAAATTGGCAAGTGGTGTTTGGTTGGTTTTAAGAGTGAGGAATATAAAGCGTTAAGACTGGCTTTGTGTCTTGGATGACAGTATAGATGGCATTGCTAGTAAGTGAGGTAGGAATGCAGGTAACATTTTTGGGTTAGGAATGGAGTGATGGAGAGTCTTGGGGTAGAGAAGTGAGGGGGTCAGGGTTTACCATGTTAAGGTCACTTGAAGCAGTCAGACAATAAGAGTGGATGGAGGTGCCAGGCAGTAGTAGCACACACCTTTAATCCCAGCACTGCTGGGGGGGAGGGGTTAAGGGCAGCCTGGTCTACAAGTGAGTTCTAGGACATCCAGGGCTGTTACACAGAGAAACCCTGTCTTGAAAAACCAAAAAGAAAAAAAAAAAGAGTGGAGTGGAAGGATAATATAGAGATATTGTAAACTTTAAAGGGACAAAAGGACTATGGGAGGGCTGGTGGGATTATGTGTTTTAGAGGTCTGATTGGGTGATAAGGATGACTGATGTTACTTCCAAGTCTAACAGAGGATGCCAGGTGGAGACAGTGTCTAGGGTCGCCAAAACAAACTGCCAGGATTTGTGTGACTTTCAAAAACAGGGATTTGTTGTCTCACAGTTTTGGAGACTTGAGGTCAGAAATCAAGGTATGTGTTGGGTAGTGCTTCCTCAGGAAATCATAGGGAATTCTTCCACAATCTCCTAGCCTCTGGCAATTTTTGGTGTTCCTTGATGTTGTTGTTGGCTTCAGTTGTCAATGTGACACAAACTGGAGGGAAGAGGGAACCTTGCTTGGGGATTGTCTCCATCAGATTGGACTGTGGCATGTCTATGGGGGCATTTTCCTGATTGCTGATTCATGAAGGAGGGCCTAGCCCATGGTGCAGGTGGTCTTGGATTGTCTAGGAAAGGTAACTGATGGCCTGGAGAGAGAGAGAGAGAGAGAGAGAGAGAGAGAGAGAGAGAGAGAGAGAGAGAGAGAGAGAGAGAGAGAGAGAGAGAGAGAGAGAGAGCTCAGTGGTTAAGAGCATTTGCTGCTCTCCCAGAGGACTAGGGGTCACTTCCCAGTACACACATCAGGCAGCTAATAACTGTCTCTAACTTTAGCTCCAGGTTATTAGATCCCAGAGGCCTCTGTGGCCACACACATCCACAACTTATTAAAATTAATAAAAATTAATCTTAGAAAAGAAGAAAGGTAGCTGGATGAGAGCCTGGAAGCGTTAGTGAGCATCATTCTTCTGTGGCTCCTGCTTCAAGCTCCTGCCTTGGCTTCCCTTGATGATGAACTATAATGTAAGTCAAATAAACCCTTTCCTTCTTGGTTGGTTTTGGTCAGAGTTGTTTATCATAGCAACTAAGAAAATCACTTAAGACACTCAGTTTAGTGGGGCGTTGTTGGCTCACGCCTTTAATCCCAGCACTCTGGAGGCCGAGGCAGGCGGATCTCTGTGAATTCCGAGGCCAGTCTGGTCTACAGAGCAAGTTCCAGGACAGCCTCCAAAACAATACAGAGAAACCCTGTCTGGAAAAACAAAAAACAAAAAAAACAAAAAACAAAAACAAAAAAAAAAGACACTCAGTTTGTCGTGTATCATGCTAACTACTCTGCCTTTGCTATTACATGGAATTTTCCTTCTGTGTCCTCTCTTCACATGCTCATTAAAAAATATTTCTGAAACTCAATTTTTAAAAAAAAAATTCTAAGACAGATTCTCACTGTGTAGCCCAAACTGGTGTCAAACACATGGAGATCCTCTTGACTCAGACTTACAAATGCTGAGATCATACACATGTACCACCATGCCCAGCTCACATGTCATCTTGTGACATGGGCACCAGTCATGTTGCGTGAGTTCCAGGGTGACCTCATCCTAACGGATTGCATTCACACAAATCCACTTCTGAATAAGATCACATTCTGAGATGGTGGGGGCGAGAATGTTCACAGACCACTTAGGGGACAAACTCTACACCCAAACAGTGAAGGGTTGTTAGTTCACAGAGGAAACAGGTTGAGGGGAGATTTTACTGGCACATGTTCCAAAATGCCTGAATAAAATGACCTAGAGTGGTGGTGGGTTCTGCTCAGAGGAATGCTAACTGACACTCTGAGTGACAAGATGGAAATATGAGGCTTGAGGAACCAAATGAAGTCTAGTTTGAGGGTAGCCAGGATGACCTTGGCCACGAAGCTGGGCAAGAGCACACAACACAAGGGAATCTGGGTAGAAAGCCACCCAATGCCCTCTCTCTCGTTGTTGTTGCCTGCACTGTCACTGCTTATTGGTGATAGTTTCCTGAAGAGCCCCTTTGCTCTCCGTATCTACCCTAAAAACTGTCCATGTCACCATGTTCCTCTTATTTTCTTCTTGCTTCTCCTGGCATGTGGAAAGCAGTTACAGTCTGAGAGGCACCTCTGTTAATGGCGTCTTCCTTTCTTTTGGTTTTTTGATACAGGGTTTCTTTGTGTAGCTCTGGCTGTCCTGGAACCCACTCTGTAGACTATGCTGGCCTTACATGTCTTTATTTCATTGGGATGTAGAAGGTCTCTTTCATTCCCAAAGAACTGAAATTAAATTTAATGAATATACTTATTGATACTGTTTGAGAAAACCTTCTCTGTTTACTTCCTTTTTATTGTATTGTTCTTATGAATATGAAAGCATATGAATATGAATATGAAGGTAAAAGATCTAATCAAAAGACTGTTACCATACCATATCAGGCAAAAATATCCTGGGTATCAGCTCTGTATTACCCTTCTAGAAAATTCTACTCCCTGTGAGCAACAAAACAGACATATTCTGGCCACTGCTTTGCATTTGACTTGTGTTCTTGCTCGAGTAATTCTTAATGATAATTGCTGATGGTTTATGTCTGGTGGTGGTTTGAAAGACAATGCACCCCCCCATAGGGAGTGACACTATTAGGAGGTGTGACCTTATTGAAGTAGGTGTGGCCTTGTTGGAGGAAGTATGTCCCTGGGTGGGCTTTGAGGTAAAAATCCCAAGCCAGCCCCCGTGCCTCTCTTCCTGCTGTCTGTGAATCCAGATGAAGAACTCTCAGCTCCTCTCCAGCACCATCTCTGCCTGCATGCCCCCATGCTCCCTGCCATGATGATAATGAACTAAACCTCTGAAACTATAAGCCAGCCCCAATTAAGTGCTTTCCTTGATAAGAGTTGCCGTGGTCATGGTGTCTCTTCACAGCAATAGAACAGTGACTAAGACTGACCCTATCTCAAAGTGGAAGGCCAGGCTCAACACCCAAGGTTGTCCTCTGACCTCTACACACACACTGTGGCACAAACATGCCTGCATTCACATACATGAATGTGAACATACCCACACATACACACAGAAAGAGACAGATGAGTGTACAAATATATGTAGTAATTCCCATACCAAAATGTAGCTATTGATGACAATTTAGGGAGGTGACTGCCACTTAGAGTAATGCTTCTGAGACTTTAGCATGCATGCAAACTAACTGACATCTCTTAAGAACACAGGTTGTAATTCAATATCTTTGGAATGAGGTCTAAGATTCTGTACTTCTAACTAGCTTGCAGGCGACATTGATGCTGCTGTTCAGGATAACTCCTGGAAGTCTAAGGAAGCACCTTGATGGGACCACCGTCTCCATAGTGTAGAGCTCAGCTTTGAAAGCCTGGAGTGTTACAGCTCACAGTTTTCATGTTCCATTTTGAACAATACAATTCAAAAGTGTTTTCATGATGTCTTTAGAGGAAAAATATGGTTTGAACCTGTATGAGACTATTTATAAAAACTTATTTCCTATTTTACATGAATATCAAATTTTCCTTTTGTGAGACTATCGCTGTATTTGATTACAGGCAGTTGCCTTAGACTCTGTTGGGGTGTGATGCTTATAAGGCATTTTACTATATTCTAGCCCCAAATTCTGAATCTTGAAATATTTCTGACTCTTAGAGTTTGTGCTGCATAGCAATTTACTCCACCATAAAACCTTCCAATGTGGAGGGAAGCTCATTTAGATAAGGGATGTTCTGTTTTTTCTTTAAGTAATTATTTTTTTAATTGAAAATAAATTCTTCTGTCATATAATACATCATGGCCAGTTTCCCCTCTCTTCACTCCTCCCAGCTCCCTCTGCCCCCACCTTTTTTTCTTTTCTTTTCTTTTTTCTTTTTAGAAACACTCTTATTTACATATCCATCCCCCATTCCCTCACACTCCCATCCTCCCATGCTTCCCACTGAACCCCCAACCCACCCACCACCCACTTCCCAGGGATAGTGAGGCCCTCCACAGGGATCATTAAAGTCCATCACATCATTTGGGGGAGGGCCAAGGCCCTCCTTTCCTTATCTGGGCTGCAATAGTATGGGAATGAGCTCCCAAAGTCCATTTGTGACCTAGGAGTAAACCCTGGCTCCACTGTTAGAGGTTCTATAGACTGCCTTGGCCTCGTAGCTGGTACCCATATTCAGAGGGCTTGGTTTGGTCCAATGCTGGTTCCCCCGCTTTACGACTAAGGTCTGCATGCTGTCATTAGATTAGGTCAACTGTTTCTGCGGGTATCTCCAGTTCCATCTTGGTTCATTTGGTCATCTCTCCTCTCTTTCCACATCTAGATTCTGGGAGTATGGATCAGTGCTCAGCTGTGGGTATCTGTTTCTGCTTTGATCAGCTACTGGGTCAAGGCTCTAGGAATGGTAACCAAGGTAGCCATCAATGCCCCCTACCTTTTCTCTCTCCAGATCCACTTCCCATCCATTTCCACTTTAGAAAAGAGCAGGCCTCCAAGAGATAACAGCATAACAGGACAAAACAGGACACAATAAGACAATGCATATGCTCTCATGTGGAGGTTGGGCAAGGTAACCCAATAGGAGGAAAAGAGTTCTAAGAGCAGGCAAAAGGGCCAGAGATACACCTGCTCCAACAGTGGGGAGTCCCATAAAAACTATCAGCCATAACATATATGCAGAGGACCTGGTGTAGACCCATACAGACATATATGCAGAGGACCTGATGTAGACCCATACAGCCTTGTGCTTGTGCGGGGATGGGTAAGACAGTGGGGTGACAAGAGATGTTCTATAGTAAGGTGGGGCATTCCATTCTGCAGGGAAGCTCCATAAGCTCAGGAAACAACTCAAAGGCTTCAGGAAGTCCCTGAAATTGACCAGTTTCAACTAGGTCCCTTCCTCCCCCAGCATATACAAACCTTAAGGACCACCAGGAGACACTATTAAACAAGGACACTGCCCAGAGGAGGCTCAGACAAACCAAGCTTCCTGGAAAGGACACTCTGCAGGTTGAGCTGCTTGTAGGCTGTGCAATGTGCTCTAGGTCACAGCTTTTGTGAGCCATCACCCCGTTAGTGTGGACTTTTGAATCATTTCGGCTGGTCTAAGTAACTCCTCACCTATGTACTAAGTAACCCAGTAAACTCATTGTTTCATCCAGTTGGACTTTGGTGCTATCTTTACTCTTGTTTGTTTCCTGTCTGGGCTGAGTAGACTCATGACTCCCCAGGAATTGTGTATACATAGTTGTTTGTCTTTGATAATGTCTCCCTAGGAATTGTGTACACACATTGTGCATCTGTGATAATAATGTCTCCCCAGGAATTGTGTACACACAGTTGTGTGTCTGATCATTTTCGGATGTTTGCCCCTTTTGAAACCTTTCTCTGGGGATTATTAACTTCACAGAGAAGGCCTACCCTGCCCGCCCACAGATGGACACAGGTCAAGGTGAGCATGCTGACAAATTGAGAGGTTGGAACCCCTCAGTCATGCCCTCACATTATCTTTGGGGTATTTGTAGTCAGGACTCAGGTGCTGTCCTGTTGCCACAAGGACAGAGGCAGGTGAGGAGCAGGGTTCATTAGCTGATGCCCAAGAACCAGAGAAGGCTTGAAATGCACAGGGCAGGGAGGGGGCACAGCTGTGAATGAAGAGGAAGAGGGGGGAGGGAAGGGGAGGGGAGGGAGAGGTGGGGAGAGGAGAGGAGGAGCGCCAGGGCTTCAATGGTCTCCTTCAAAGGCCTATTCTCAGTGACCTGTTTCTTCCAACTGGGCTCCATCTTCCAAAGGTTCCAGTGCCTCCGGATGGTGCCACTGGTTGGGCAGCAAACTCTTAGCATACAAGTGTTCAGAGGACATTCCTGATCCAAACTATAGCTTGCATAAAAACTGTAAACAGTAGGATTTGGAGGGTTTCCAGATTGGTAAACACAAGGTCAAATTGAGAGGATAGAGCACCCCAATTCTATGGGGATAGAAGTTCTTGCACTCTAGACCCTTACAGAATTATATCTCTTCATGTGATAGAACCTTTGTATCATTTATGCTACCCTGTATATGAAACCAGGACACTTAAGGACAGCATATCGCACCCCCCCATGAACAATTACTGCAAATTATTGAACTTGCTAAAAGAGCTGTTTAGTTAAGTCTGACTGAATGTATAGATTATTTGGGGATCCACTGCATTCAGCTCCTGGTCAAAGTGTAGCTTATTTAGGGACTACTTCCTGCAGTGGACATTTAAAGTGAACATCCAGTCTTGGGAGATGGAGTCAGTGATCTACAGAGTCTACATAACCATGGCTAGCTAGTGTTCCAGTTAAATGACAGGACATCCGGCTGGAGTCTTCAGAGAAGTGGAGAAGTGTCTGGCGTGGAAACCTGACCCTAGGTGTCAAGAGTGTGAGCAGGGAGACACTTCCTACTTTGATGTTTCAGCATTAACAACCTGTTCCCTTGAGGGTTGTGACATACAGCTACCCTCTTACATAAATTCCTGCATTTTGTTAGTTCAACCTGAAATGACTTCACCAAAGATGCTTTTTAAAAAGCTTTGGAGAATGGACATGTAAATGGAATTCTCAAGAGAGTGCCAATTTATTAATTTCCATGCTGAGTGACTGCCAGTGGGACCAGAATACTTCAACTCAAGGCCAGCCTGTCCTCTCCCAGGAGGGAAATCTACATGGGAAGCCAAGTTATAATGAGAAGACAGCTTGATGAGGGCAGACAGAGCAGATAATTAGGGGATCTGAGCAGGCTGTCTCCAACTGGGGATGACTCGAGGCACTTTCTCCTACTCCAGCATGTACTGAACCTGCCAAGTGGTGTGCGCATGTGCTTGTGTTAGCTCATCCTTGGAAAATAGGCCAGCTTACTAAAACCAGCTCACCCATAAGCCAAGTCAGCTAATGAGCCATTTGCCTAAAATTAGTGTTTGTGGAAACACCTCATGTGTGATGGATGGCTTCCGGTGCTCTCTGAGTGCTTTCCCTCTAAGGTGACTGATGACTTTTATAAGTCCTCTGGTTCCCCTCCTGCCACTTCCTGCTTTCTCTTCTGCCCTTATTTCAAAGAGATTGTTGTTCTTTTCTGTTTGTTTGTTTTGCTTTGTTTTTGAGACAGGGTTTCTCTGTGTTAACAGCCCTGGCTATCCTGGGACTCACTCTGAGGACTAACCTGGCCTCAAACTCACAGAGATCCCTCTGCCTCTGCCTCCGGAGTGCTGGAATTAAATGTGTGCGCCACCACTGCCCAGTGAGATTGTTCTTTATCCATGACTGCCCTCTTGTCCACCATCATACTCTTGCCTGCTACTTATCATTTAAAAAAATAAAAAATGTGTTTTATTTTTATGTGCGCATGTGCCTGCGTGTCTACATGTGGACTGTGGGCATGTAGTGCCTGAAGAAGCTAAAAGAGGGCGTTGGATCACCCAGAACAGGCGTTACAGGCAGTTGTGAGCTGATGTGTGTACTGGGAACTAAACCAGGTCCTTAGCAAGAGTAGGGACTGTTGGGAGTTGGGAATGTTGGAGGCTACAGTCTGAAGGCCAGGAGTTAGACACCCCAAATAAAGACTAAAGTGGCAGGACAAGTTCATCAACTGGAGGGCAAACAGGACCAGATAGGACACAATGCTGGCAGGAAGGGAGAACTTTCTGGAATCAGTGATGAGGTGATGGTAGTTGTTTTGTATGTCTACTGCTCATTAACTGTGCTAGAATTTTCCATTTCTCTAAAATTGTTGTATGTGCCTTTTGGTAAGAAATCTGTGCAGAATTGTGTCTGCATACGTTGAGAGTTGCACAACTCAGGGGGTGTGTTTTGTTTATGAGTCATCAAATTTCCTCTCTCTTTTTTTTAGCTTCTTTCTTGCTGCCTGTTGCCTGCTTCCCAGAGCTTTGTGTACCAACTGTCATTATTAAGCAAATTGCCCCAAAGTGAATGTTTATGGCTGTAGCGTAAGGCACTTCTGTGCTGACAGTGAGAATAATTAAAAATAAAATAAGTAAAAAAAGACATAGTCCTCTGAAGCAGACTGTCATGGCTCTTTATGTTCTGTGCATCTAAATAATGAAAAATTATCAGACAATGAGTGTTAACCCATGCAATTGTCTCTGTGTGTTGTAGTTGTACCTGTGCCCAAGTATTACTTTTTTTTTTTTGAAGCAGGGTTTCTCTGTGTAGTCATGTCAACCATAGAACTCACTGTGTGAACCAGGCTGGCCTCAAACTCAGAGATCTGCTTGCCTCTGTCTCCTGAGTCCTGGGATTAAAGGCGTGCATCACCTTGCCCTGCCAGGTATTACTTTTAAAGAGCTTCTTAAAGCTTATTTAAAATAATGACAGTGTCGCCCATCTTAGGCTGGCCCCCAGCTTGACAATTGGCAGAGGATAGCCTTGAACTTGTGACCTCCCTTTCAAAGCCTTCCCAGTGCGGGGATTACAGGTGTGTGCTGTACTTGTAATCCTATATCCAGTTAATGCAGGACTGGCCATGGAACCCAGAGCACATGCATGCTAGGCTAGTACTCTGTTTAAACTGAGCTCTGTCCCTAGATCTTAAGGCTTCTTTTAACCAAAGAATGGTTTTTACCATTGAATGATTTAACAAAAACTTATCATTTTGCTGCTCTGGATATCAGAAGTTTTAAGATTAAGTCATTGCAAAGGGCTGTGTTTAGGGCTGTGCTTCTGGGGTGAATCTCTTTCCTCGCAGTTTTCTGCCTCTATGCTGACTTCATCCTGCTGCCTTCAAAACTGTGTAACATCTTCCAATCTCTGGCTGACTTCAGTTTCTATAGCAAAATCCCTAGGCTGAGTACTCTGTAAAGAAAAAAGGCCCATTCAATTCACAGTTCTGGAGGGTAAAGGGCATGACACCGGTACTGTGCTGCTCCTGGGGGAACCCCATGACAGATGACATGGCAGGAGAGAGGGGAGAGACTGTGTGATGAGCTAGGAAGTCAGAGAGTTTGGAGGGGGGTGGTGTTCACTTTTCCATAACAATCCATTCTTACTGAAATGAACTGGGGTTCCAAGAGAACTAACTGCCTTAATCTCCTTGGAGGACGCTGCCTCACACGTGTCACCCTCTTTCATCAGACCCACGTCTGAAAGCTCCCACCACCTCACTGCCTCACTGGGGCTGAGCTTTGAAGGACAAACTGCACTCAAACTGTAGCACTTTCTGACCCCAGCCCTGTCTTTGTATCTTGCTTTCTCTGCTAACACCTTTGAGACTCCATCAGGTCACTCAGTTCATCCAGGCTTGTCTCCCTCCTTTATGAGATTCTGTCATGAGGTAACATGTTCCCAGGTTCTGGGATTAGGATGTGAGTATCTTTGGGATGGTCTAATATAATGCTTTTTATATTAATTGGGCTATCCTATGCTAATCTATGAAATATTAATAAAATAGAATTCAGAAAAATATATCTTGTGGTTTTACTACTGAAGGAGAAATATAGTAAACATTTGCTTCTAGCTTATAAAAAAATACAAGTTGTGTATGGTGATACATGTCTTTAATCCCAGCACTTGGGAGACAGAGACAACAAGGTCTCTGTGAGTTTAAGGCCATCCTGATATACAGAGCACATTCCAGACCTGCCAAAGCTACATAGTGAGACCCTATCTAAAGAAACACATTCGAACAACTTTTTGCATAGAATCATATTGCTTATAACAATTGAGATGCTGGATTTTTACTAAATATTGTATATACTGGTTTATTTTCCATACTATACAGTCTGATAATTTGTTGAGTATATAATATTCTATTACATGACTATACTATATTTTAGCTAAGCAACTTCTTACTTTAAACATTTTTATTTTTAATCATGTGTATTGGTATGTGTCTGTATGTGGGTGTGTGCATGAACATAGAGTCACAGAGGCCAGAAGAGGGTGTTGAGTCCTCTGCCGCTGGAGTTACAGGCAATTGTGAGCTGCCCAATGTGGGTGCTGGGAACTGAACCCAGGTCCTTTGCAAGAAGTCAGTGTTCTTAACCACTGAGCCACCCAGCTCTCCAGTCCCACGTTTTTACTTTTAGAAATTTGTCTTAATCTTTTCATATTATAAAATCCTGTGACAAATATTTCAGTCAACATATATCTTTGTGATTTTAAGTTTTTCCTTGGGATAGACCCCCAGATGTGGAGTGGCTTTATTGAAGACATTTTTTTTTACAGCCCATGTTTTTCACAGAGCTTAAAGAAATTGTTGGATCCCTGGAAGTATGCTATCATCTATTTTACTAGAGTTTCACTGCTCTAAATAAAACAGTGATATCATAAACAATACCTCTGCAAATCAGGTAGATCGAATTCTTATCTTTTTTGCCTTAATTTTTGTATATCTGTTTACAAAGAAGGAGCATGAATGATTTTCCTGTACTTGTTTTTGAGTTAGCTACAATTTTTGATGAAATTTGGGGAGATCGAAATACTTTTGAAATAAGTCAGAGCTCAATATTTTTAAAAGTTTATTTGATACCTGCAACAATTGCCACATTTACTTACATTGTCACTAGAGATTTTTATGCCTAGAAGTTTAATATTTGTATGGATTTTATTTATCTTCTTCCCCTGCTCTCACCCCTTTCCTTCTTTTCTCTTTTAAAATTCCTTCTGTCTAGGGCCAGCAAGATGGCTCAGCCAGTAAAGTTGCCTGCCACCAAGCCTGCCACCCTGAGTTTGATTCCCATGATCCACGTAGTGGAGGGAGAGAACTGAGTCCTACAAGTTCTGGCTCTATGAACGTTCTGTGGCATGCCCCACCCCAACATGCACACAAACAAATGAATAAGTGTAATAAAAAAGAATTCTGAGATTTTGTTTGTTTGTGTTTAGGTCCTTCCATTCAAATGACTAAATTCACAGTACATGTAATATTCTAGTTCTTCTTATGGACTGGAAAGTGTCTGTTTTTTTTTTTCTCACTGACTATGTGGGGTGTGTGTGTATGTGATATGTGTATGTGGTATGTGTGTGTGTGCATGTAGTGTGTGTGTGTGTATGTGTGTGTGTGTGTGTGTGTGTGTGTGTGTGTGTGTTGGGCACATGTGCATGTGGTGGCCCGGGGTTGATGTCAGGCACCTTCCTGATCGTTCTCTATCTTACCTATTTAGACCCTGGTCTCTCACTCGAGCCTAGAGCTTGCTGAGTCAGTCAGTTTAGCTAGATAACTAACCCTAGGCCAGTACTCCCATCCCTACCTTCTGAGTGCTGATGATAGGTGGGCTACCATACTCACCTGGCATTTACATGGTGCTGAGGATTTGAATTCAGGCCCTCCTGCTTGCAAAGCAAGTGCTTTAGTCACTGAGCCATCTCCCCAGTCTTTGGTAAGTGTCATTAATCATCTGTAGTTATGTGAGAAACATATAGAGATGCTCTGACTACCTGCTTCCATTTTACCCAGAGAAGACTCATCCGTACTTCTGAGTTCTTGGCAAAGACACAACTGCCTTTTGCAAAAATAAATAAGAACAATGTCAGGACACTGTGAATGTTTTTGTTCCCTCAATTTTCCCTTTTATGACTGTGTTAACATTCTCTAATAGTCTTCTGGATATTTTAATCTAAATGGAGACAGAAATAGCTTTCAATATTTGGCATTAGCTGGGGTGCTCAAAGCAAATGAGTGGAGAAAACCAAAGCCAGACTTGGTTTAAGTGACAGGTCAAGGTCCCTTCCTAAGCAGAGGTCACAATGATGGGTTCCTAATTTAGGTTTCTCCTATATCATTTTCTTAGGAGAATGGGCAACATATTCTAGAAGCACAGGCCTTGGCAGCAAACCTCCCTATCTTCCTGTTGACTTGGGTCCTTTGCATCCTGAAGAGATTTAATGCTCCTCCTTTTATCACTCAGCACATCAAACATATCACTACCTACACTCACATGCAATCATATCACAAAAGGGTTCAGTTGGGGAAATGCCTGTAGGCAAGCCTGTCAGGTAATTTCCTGATTGATGATTAATGTAGCCTACTGTGAGCAGTGTTACCTCTAGTCAGATGATCTTGGATGTATAAAAAAAGCAGGCTGAGCAAGCCATGGGGAGCAATCCAGTAAGCAGCACACTCCTCTATGGCCTCTGTTTCAGTTCTTGCCTTGATTTTCTTCCTAGACTTTCTCATTTTAGTGTTGATGATGGTTGTAGGTTGTGGTGTCTTTTATTTTTTGTTTGCTTGTTTTTTTTTTTTTTTTTTTGGTGACAGGGTTTCTCTATGTAGCTTTGGAGCCTATCCTGTCACTTGCTCTGTAGACCAGGCTGGCCTTGAACTCACAAAGCTCTACCTGCCTCTGTCTCCCGAGTGCTGGGATTAAAGGCGTGCACCACTAACACCCAGTGAAAAATGGATTTCTTAAGAAGTTTGCTTTCTCGAATTCCAGGACCGCTAGGACTGTCACACAGAGAAACCCTGTCTCAAAAAGCCAAGAAAAGGAAGAAGATGAAGAGGAGGAGGAGGAGGAGGAGGAAGAGGAGGAAGAAGAGGAAGAAGTTTGCTTTCTGTTGCTGTGATAAAACACCGCAACCCCCGGGTGGGGATAATAAAAGTAAAAATTTCTGAACTCTGTCATGGCTTTCCTTAATTACTGCAATGGAAAAGATTTCAGCCTCTGAAAGACATTTATGACTTTTAAAAGGTATCCTTGGCCATACTCATAGAACTTGGAAATGGATAATTTAGCTCAAGAATGTCTCATAAAGAGTTCTTTGGCTGCAAGTAATAAAAAATTCTTGATTATCCCAAGCATTGGACTTCAGGCATGCATCATCATGCTAGGCTTATATTAGTATCATTTGAGATCTATTTATTTACTTATCTATCTACCTATTATCTGTCTGTCTGTCTGTCTGTCTATCTACCAAGCATCTGTTGTGAAGTAATTGTCACAATCAAATAAGTAACATACCCATTGAATCATATAGTTGCCTTGTGTGTTCATGTGTGCCTCTGGACATGTTGACAATACTTAAGATCCAGCATGTTAATTGTAGTCACCGTGCTGTACATTAGACTGTTGTACAAAACTGAAACCTTGCATCTTTAACCACCTCACACTCATTTTCTGTCTTGGTCCCTGGTCATTATCATTCTAATCTTTGATTTTTTTGACTTCATATATAAGTATGATTACACAGTGTTTGTCTTTCTTCCTCTGACTTGTTTCCCCTAATACTGTTTTCCTGGTTCATCCATATTATTGTAAACAACAGAATTTTCTTCCTTAAAATTTTTATTTTATTTATGTATATGTGTGAATATCAGTGAGTATGTACCATATGTGTGTGGGTGACTGTGAAGAACACTGTTTACCCTGGAGCTAGAGGTCCAGGTGGTTGTGGACCACCTGCCGTGGGTGCTGGGAACTGAATTCCAGTCCTCTGAAGAGTAGCAGGGTTCTCAACCCCTGAAGCATCTCTCTAGCCTCAGGGTTTTCTCTTTTAAGGCTGAGTAATATTCCACTTCCATATACATAGACACTGCATTTTCTTTACTATATGGACTTCCAGAGAAGAAGAGTGAGGTGGTTCCCAAGGGGGCAATCAGGGTGAAGCTCCAGAAGAAAAACCAGTGTGTGCTGCATGGTGAGAAGAACCAGTGCTCACAACAAAGGCCCTTTGCCATCATCCTCTGTTAGGAGGATTTATAGTCTGTTTTCCATCTTATAAAAGCTCAGCTGACAAACCTTCTGCAGGACAGAGAAAAACACTCTTTGCAAGAGAAGTATTTACTAGCCACTGCTGTGAGTGAGGGCTTGGTTTAGTGTCTAGAACCCTTGAAGATATCTTGTTGCTCAAATCTGGAACCCTCATCTCAAATCCTACTGTTGTTGTTGTCCTCTTTGGGTGACCTTTAAAAATCTTGTACTGTTCTTTTAGAAATCCTGGAGAATAGAGAAAACTCCAGGTTAACCATTATGCAACCCCCACCTCATATTTAGGAAATAAGCTTTCATGTGTAAAACCAGGAAAATAATCTTCATACTATATAACTTGAAAAAAGTCTAACAAGGTGTTGTGAATTGTTTGCTGTATTTTTTAAGGGTTTATTTTAATTTTATGTATATGAATGTTCAGCTTGTATATATGTATGTATGTATGTATGTGCACCATATGCATGCCTAGTGATTTGTGGAGTCCTGAAGAGTGTTGGATCCCCTGGATCTGGAGTTACAGGCAGTTGTGAACCTCCATGTGGGTGCTGGGAACCAGACTCTGTCCCCTCTAGAGATTATTACCATGACCACTTGATAGCCCTCTAATGGACATGCCACAACTTTTCTGTCTGTTTCTTGCGCAGGTAGACTGTCACATGAAGGCCGAACAGCAATAGACAACTTTATGGACTCCTGGAGTTAAATTCTTATGTGGCCAGACTACCATATTCAAATTTTAAAACAGCAGCTGGAGAACTAACAGAAAAGTCTAGCATGCTATCCCTTTGTGACATAACACTGAGCATCCAGCAGTTTCCTGGGAAGAGTCATCAGGAGAACAGCTGAGCTCATCTTGAAAAGTCATTGGACAGTTAGATTTTCCACTTAACTTTCTTATCTAAGTAAGAGGCAGAAATTCACTTGTCCCTTGCTGGTTATTGCTTGCTTGTTTTAGAGTCATATTAGGCCATTAGTCATGCATGAGCAGGGATGGGGTAAGTACATTACCAAGGCTGGAAAAAGACGAGAGTAAAAGCAGGGTGGACTTTCTGAAAGAGGCAGGGCTTGGTTGGTGTGATGATTAATCTTGTCTACTTGATGGGACTTAAGTGACTTAGAAGACACACTAAGCATGCCTATGGGGCATTTCCAAAGAGGTTACCCCTGAGGTGGTAGGGGGCACTATCCCATGGGCTGGGGTCCCAGACTGTATAAAAAGGAGAAAGTAGACTGGGGACCAGCAGTCACCTTTCTCTGCTTCCTGGCTGAGTGTCATGTGACCAACTTGCCTCATGTTCCTGCTACCATGGCTTCCTGCCATGATGCATTGGAACCTCAAACCATGAGCCCAAATAAACCTCTCCCGTCCCTCCTCTTGTTTTCAATAGGCTCTCACTGGGTAGCCCTGGCTGGCCTGAGACTTGCTACATAGACCAGGCTGGTCTCAAACTCACAGAGATCCTGCTTCTGCTTCCCGAGTTCTGGGATTAAAGAAGTGCATTACCATGCCTGACTTACCCTCTCTCTCTCTCTCTCTCTCTCTCTCTCTCTCTCTCTCTCTCTCTCTCTCTCTCTCTCTCTCTCTCTCTTTCTCTGTGTTCATGTGAGTGCAGATGCCCAAGAAGGACAGAAGAGGGTACTGGATCACTCAGAGCTGGAGTTATAAGTAGTTGTGAGTGATGCTGGGAACTGAACCAGGATCCTCGAAAGTGCGGTATATGCTCAACTTCTCCTTAAGATGACTTTGTTAGGTATTTTGTCACAGCAATGAGAGAAGTAACTAATACATCTGGAAACTGTATTTGGGTACCCTCAAGGCATAAGGAATAAGCACATTTTATACATACTTTGTAGGAGCAAAAGCCATTTGGGGTATAGTGAGCCTTACAGACATATATGCAAAATGAATAAAGCCAGCAAAAGTGACAACCTACTATCCTGTAGCATTCATAATGCCATTTTCTCCCTCAATAAACATATTGCTATTTTAATACAGAGTCTCATGTTTCTCAGGCTGGCCTTGAACTCCCGATCCTCCTCCTTCTGCTGCCCATGCACAAGGATTATAAGTGTGTATTATGATACCTGGCTTATGCAGTGCTGGGGTTTGAACCCAGGACTTTGTGTATACTACCAGGCAAATACTTTCCCAACAGAGCCACATCCCAGCCCTTATACTGTTTCTTTGGCTAATAAGAATTTATCTTACAGGGTTTGGGGGTTTAGCTCAGTGGTGGAGTGTTTGCCTAGCAAGTGCAAGGCCCTAGATTCGGTCCTCAGTCCCGAAAAACGAAATTACCTTATAGAGAGGTCTTGTTCAAGATCTTGCCAATATTTAGCTGTATTTTTCTCTAGGCGAGGCTAACCTAGATTCTTGTTTTAGACAGGGTCTTATGTACCCCAGGTTGTTGTAGTCTTTGCTAAGTAGCTAAGGATGTTCTTGAACTTCTGATCTTCCTGCTTCCATCTCCCGAGTACTGGGATTGCAGGTGTGCACTACCACGCTCAGTTTATGTGGCGCTGGGGATTGAACACAGGTCTCTGGCATGCTAGGCAAGCACTCCCAGGTCCTAAATTCATTTTATGAAGTAATGAGCTGGATTTTTTTTGGACATGAACTGGAGCCCAGTTTCAGGACTATCTTTGTTTACCTTTATTCTCTCTGGAAGCTTCACCTAGCAGCATTGAGGGGTGAGCTGCCTTGTTTTTCACTTACCATCAACACTGGGTTGCTTTGGAAGTTGCAGAAGTTTAGGATTCTGGAGCTGGCATGACAGATTTGGTCTCAATGGGTAAATACATAAGTCATTTTCCTCAGGCTTGTTTTGGCTGAGTTCTCTGAACATGGCTCAGCACCTGCCGTTACTTCCCTTGGGATGGACAGTCCCAGTGGGCAGCTCTTTCTCCTTAGTAAGAACTCTTAAAGTGCAAGCAAACGAAATTGCTAGGTGCAGAGGAATCACAGCAGACAGGAGAGGTGCAATCGCAAGTTTGGGGTCAGCCTGGGTTACGTAGTTCTATTGTGTCTCGAACACACACACACACACACACACACACACACACACACACACACACACACACACCTCGTGATTACATGTATGCCAACAAATAGGATAACCTAGACACAATTGCACAATTTTATGAAGAAACAGAAAAGTAGAACAGACTGATGAAGAGCAGGGAGATCAGTTTGTTAAAAACCCTCCCAGCAGGGGATAGTCCAGGAGCAGATGGTTTTATTGCTGAATTCTACCAACACCTCATGCAAGGGTGAGGACCTGGGTTCGATCTCCAGCACCTAAGTAAAAAAGCCAAATGTGGTAGGACACACTTGTAATCCCAATGCTGGGGAGGCGGTGATAGGCGGGACCTAGGGACTTGCTAGCCAGCCATCTCAGCTTATCTGGTGAGTTCCAGGCCTGTGAACTACTCTGTCTCAAAAATGAGTGGGTGCTGGAGAGATGGCTCAGTGGTTAGTAGCCTTTCCTTCTCTTCTAGAGGACCCAAGTTCTGCTCCCAGCACCTAGAACCAGGTGGTTTACAACTTCCTGTAACTCCAGGCCATGTCCTCTTCTGGCTTCCTGAGGCATCCACACACATGCTCACACACATGCTCACACACATACATACAGGTAAGCAAACAATCTTAAAAACAAAACAAAAAGTGTATGACACCTGAGGAATGACCTCTGGAGTTGACCTCTGGTCTCTACATGCACACATACAGATATGTATGTACACCTACACACACACACACACACACACACACACACACACACACACACACGCCAAGGGCAGGACCTTCACGCTGCTTATTTTGAGTCCCAGCACCTGCCCCAGTTCTGGCCCCCACAGGTGACAACATCTGCTGGGAGAATGACCAGATGGGGGCCTGATGTTAGTCCAGCACCAGCTCCAGCTAGCTGCCATCCTGAGTGCCTGGTAATCTCAGCGCACAGCACTGCAGCTCTGAAATGAAAAACCATGTGGTGGAGGCTTCCAGGGACTGCAGGGTTGGACTTTGGAGTCAGACACAGAGCTCATTTTGCTCAGCCGATGGCTACCTGTGTGATCTTAGCCTACTCACTTGATCTTTGAGCTTCCGTTTTCTCATATATAAAATGGGTGTCATAAAATCTACTTTATTTGACTGTCAAGGGAATGAAATCAGATAATGCCTATAAAATGTTCAGCTATGTCCCTGGCACACAGTGAGTGATCAGCAAATAGGCTCGTCTAGGGCTGTATGTATCACCAGCTGTACTGCTCCAGTTGGTGGGCACACATCACCTCTGTGGTGTGTGTGTGTGTGTTGTGACAGGGTTACATGTAGCCTAGACTGACCTTAACTTTCTATGTAGCTGAGGGTGGCCCTGATCCTACTGTTTCTACCATCCACAGCAATGGGGTTACAGATTTCTACCACTATACTTGGATTATGTGGTCTTGGGGGTCAAACTCACGTTTTTTTCCTTTTTTTCTTCATATTAAGCTGGCACCCTACCAATTAGGCTACACTCCCAGCTCAGACTCACACCTCACTGTTTTTAGAGGGGGGTGGCATTGTGGTTTCTGGGTCCCACAGACTGCCAGTGCAGTGATTGGTGCAACTGTTATCCTGGTGGGCATGTGGTTATTGAATCATGAGGAAAATGCTTGGGGACAGAGTTACAGGGACCAGGTGAAGACAAGGCCATGATGAGGTCACACTGAGCCAGTGAGGCACCTGACTTGATTCTCAGGATACAAGCTATGGCTGAATTCATAGATGTTATGGGATGGGGGACTTCATCTGGGTCCCCTCTGTCCTCAGCTGGGTGGGGCTTCCTCTTCCATCAAAGCACGCTCCTGCTCTGTGGGGAAGAGCCCTTGCTGCCAGGGGATTTCAGGAGGGCTGTCATGACTGTAAAATTTGACTCAGGCAGGAGGCACTGTTGGATGAATTTTATTTTGAGTCCCCTATGCCAGGAACTCCCAGAATCTGTTGTGTGAGAAAGTCCCAGAATGTGGAGACAGGAGCCAAGCTCATCCCTGTCAGGTGGGGGTGTTGATGCCATCTGCAGAACTTCAGTAGCTCGGAGCTGCCAGTCGTGCTGTGGGTGATAACTGAATTTTACCTCTAGTCATCAGCCGTTCACCTGAGAAACATTAATTTCTCCTTGCCTTCCTGCGAGGGGAGACTGGCTGAGAGAGTATGCCTCTGGGATTCTGCTGTATCAGGGCCCTTTTTGCTTTCACAAGCTATGGCCGTCTCTTTGTCGTCCATTCATGTGCACAGCGACTCTGTGTATGAACCCAGGAGGTTTGCCGACTTGCTAAGATTCCCCAGAGCTGCCTTTGTGTGTGTGTGTGTGTGTGTGTGTGTGTGTGCGCGCGCAAACACACACTTGAGTGTGGAAGCCAGAGGACAATGCCTATGTGTGCATGTGGAGGCCAATGGAAGATGCCAGATGTCCCTTTTTCTCACTCTTTCTTTTTGAACAAGGTCTCTCATTGAGCCTGGAACTAGGCCAGTAAGCTCCAGGGAATCTTCCTGTCTCTGCTTGCTGCACCACCCCACCCTTATCTCCTGCAACCCCGGGGTGGTGGTGGTGGTGGTTATAGGCACACAGTAGCCATGCTCTTTTTTTTAAAAGAGGAAGCAGGGGAAAATGAACTCAGTCTTCAAGCTTTCAAGGCGAGCACTTCACCAACTGAGCTAACTGACCAGTCCCTAGACATGCCTTTGGGATCTCAAGGTTCTGGGCATGGAGTTCAGAGGCCGAGCATGCACACTCAGGAGCACTTTCTGACTGAGGCCTTTGTTCAGCATCTTGACTCTCTGGCTCTCAGAAGATGGAGCACCTCACCTTCAGCTCCAGAAGGGACTGAAGGTTGCAGCAACAGGACTGTTATACATCTAATAGCTACAGAAAGAGTCGCTGTTTTCTGCTGTCTGTGGGGCTCCGGGGAGACTACTGAGGGTTGGAGGAGATGGAAGCTGCTCACAGTCCTTCGTTCTCTAGGAGCCAGCATGGTGTAGCTGTGGCGGTGCTGAACTCTGAGGTGGTAATGGGGATACGTAGGTTCACAATTTCAGCTCTGCTGTTTCCTGGCCAGGTGGCTTCCCTGCCTGTGGATGAGTCATGGGCATTGCTTCCTTACGTATAGAACGGGCTGTCCTAGGGTCACTTCCGGCTCCCTCATGCCAGCGTTCACAGTTAACTGTTAGAATTTTTTCAGATTCTAGAAGCTGAGTACAGACCAAGTGAACATACCTTGGAGAGCTCTGAGCAAGAGGTCCCAGACATTTGGCACTAGATGGCCAAATCTCAGCCCATGGAGTGTCCCTTCGGGCAAAGTTGCCATTAGTTTTTAACGTGAAAAATCTTTGGCAGCTAATTCCATCTGGTGGGAAATGCCTTTTGTTAAATCGATGCTCTTTGGAACCTGCTCGTGAACTCCCAGCTCCCATTTCAACATTATTAGTGATGATAAAAAGAATACCAACAACCTATCCAGTGTGCATGACTCAAAGAGCACTTCACACGGTTCACAGGGCACTTTCTCAGACATCCTGGTAGGCCGTTACCCGTCTCTACGTCTCAGATAGGAAAACGGGATCAGACAAGGATGTGAATCTGGTTCTGTCTGACATCTAAGACATACTACTTTTTTTTTTTAATTTGTCATTTAGTACGGACTGACCCAGAACTCTCTGTAGCTCAGGCTAGACTCAAACTCTCCCTCCTCCCTCCTTAGCCTCTTTGGTGCTGGGATTACAGGTGTGAGCCATCATGCCGGCTTCCCTGTTCTTATTGTACGTTTAGAAACAACAGTGTTTTGTGGCTCTTGTGTGTGATTGTACCATTATAGGTATTGGACTGGGAGGCAGAAAACTCCCTAAGGATTCTGAGAAAGCTATGTTGTCAAGAGGGAACTTTATTTGGCTCCCTAAGAATGGGAGTTAAAAATACCCAGAGAGAAAGCCCTGGGGGAGAGTCCTGGAATGGAGACAGGAATGTACCTGGAATATCCTCAGAATACTAGGATTTGGGGAGCAAGAACTTCATTTGGGAGGGAGACTTGGGTGTGGGGACACCAAGTAAGGACACAGGCACTCTGTAGAAGCAAGTGGCTGCCTATGCCCTGGCTGTATCTTCTTTGTGTCCATAGGACATTAGTTTGTTTCTGCTTCATAAATAGAGTGATCCAGACAGGCTTTAGCAAGAAAACCACAGCGGCTTTGACGGAGCACCTGTAAGCCATCAGCTAATCTAACATTTGCTTGCTCACTAACGGAGCTCCCTCCCTCCCACACTGTGCAGGGAAGTGGTCCTCTACCGAGTGGCAGGAACCGGGAAGAAACAGCGATTGAGCAGCTTAGTTGGTGGAGTGGCTTGCCTAGCACATACAAGAGCCTGGCTCAGTAACTTAGTACCAGAGGAAAAACCAGGTTCGAGATTCAGCCGCCACTTTTCATGGAAATATAGCAAAAATGATTCTTACCAAGAGACTGGCAATTCAGGCTAGGGATGAAGTCTGTAGACTGCTTGTGTAGTGTGCATAAAGTCCTGGCATCGATCCCTAGAGCCACATAACCCAGGTGTGGTGGTTCATAACTGGAGGCTCAGTAGCACCATGTGGTGCAACTTACCCGTTTCTGTGAGTCCCTCTCTACCATTTCGCAGCTTAGCTTTTCTTTCCCACCAGTTCTTGGAAGTCAGAGATCCCATGTCTGCACACAAAGTGATCACATTTAAGAGATGAGCAAAGAAAGAATGGGAGTAAACCCTGATAAGGGACGGGTGCAGGGGCGGGGAGGGGAGGACAGGACAGGGGATGACACACACACACACACACACACACACACACACTCTCTCTCTCTCTCTCTCTCTCTCTCTCTCCCTCCCTCCCTCCCTCCCTCCCTCCCTCCCTCCCTCCCTCCCTCCCTCCCTCCCTCCCTCCCTCCCTCCCTCCCTCCCTCTCTCTCTCTCTCTCTCTCTCTCTCTCTCTCTCTCTCTCTCTCTCTCTCCTGGAACCCGCCCACCCCAGGGGCCCACAACAGAGACTGTCCTGTGTTGTGTTCATTCCTGATAGTCCAAGATGGAGGCAAGGGCCCTGGGGGAGCCTGGGGGCATGTCCCCTAGGGAAGGAGGGAGGGCGATGATGCTGGTAGTAGGAGGCCTGCAGGCTGTAATGAGGCCTCTGGAGGCCCCAGGGAAGGGCCCCAAGGTCTGCAGGTTCTGAGGCAAGGCCTCAAGAGCCAGGCAGTCAGCTGACCTCCCTTGGAGGGAGGCCAGGGCAGACATCAGGGAAGAAAGAGTAGGAGGCCTGGGGAAGGGGGGGGGGGACTAGAGGGGCCAGGGGCTGAAGGAAGGGAGGAGGTGAAAGAGAGAAAGGGAGAGGCTCCAAAGCCTAGACAGAAGGGGACTGAGGGGGAGGAGGAAGAATGGGGAGAGAGGAAGAGAAGAATGCAGAGCTGAGCCTGAGGCACCAAGGGAGCAGGCAGAGATGGGAGGAGAGCCTTGGCCCAGCCCCAGGAAAGAGATGACTCCAGAGGCCTGGCAACTCCTCCTGCTAATACCATACGGAAGGGCAGGGTGGGGGGAGGATGTTTTCTGTCTCATAGTCTGCAGCAGGGCATGTCAGGGGCCCCAGAGCCTGTCCTTTTAGTACCTGGATCTGAGGGAAGGGGTTCAGGCCTTAGTGAAGGAGAGGAGGAAGACATGGGAAGGACTGAGAGGAGAGGGTACTTGTGTCTGGGAGCTAGCTGAGGGTCACAGATGCAAAGAGCTGCATATCATTATTTTCTTTGTTTTTGTTTGTTTGTTTTTGAGACAAGGTTTCTCTGAGGCTTTGGAGGCTGTCCTGGAACTAGCTCTTGTAGGCCAGGCTGGTCTCGAATTCACAGAGCTCCTCCTGCCTCTGCCTCCCGAGTGCTGGGATTAAAGGTGTGTGCCACACCGTCCGGCTCATTACTTTCCTTATCGGACATAGGTTTACTGAAAGGTGACAGTGTTCTGGACCCTGAGCTAGGCCCAGGCCCAGCCTCAGTGGTGTGGCCACGTCCTGCTGCGAACTGCTCGACACACTGCTATGTCCCATTTGCTGCCTGTGCCTCGGTTTCCTCGTATGCAACCTCAAGTTCATGAAAACCACTCTGTAGGTTTTATTTCCAGGGTTAATGAAGTGGTTTACAGAAAGTCAATTGCTCACTGGTATGGAAGGAACATTTTGGAAGGGTTTTCCTGGCAGCATTTGAGCAGCTGATCTTGAAGGAGGAGAAGGCATTTGCCAACTGGGAACAGAACCTTCTGGGCTGAGCCTGCAGGAGGTGTAAGGAGTTTGGAAGAGGCTGTTGTGGGGTGGATGGCAGAGGCTGACCTTCGGCTTTCCTGTAAGAGTGTTGCTGTATGACCTGTTTTATTTGAGTTTTTCAGCTTCTGGCCAGCTCACAGGCTTGCATGGCTCCTGGGATCTCTCCCTGTCCAAGTGTGGTGGGGTGGTCCTAAAGGGTGCCTGTGTTAGGGCTGTGGTCAGCACAGAGTTATGTGTAGCTCCTCAAACACTGTCTCACTCAGCTCTTAGAAACCTTGGTAGTAGTTCCACCCCACCCTCCACTAGACAGAAAAGGAGAGTGGGGTGCAGGGAAATTGAGGCCCAAGACCCCCACAATCCATGAGCAGCACTACCGTGGCTTACCCTGCCTGTGCCACTTGGCAGTGGAGTTGAATCACCATGTCTCCCCAATGCCTCAGTGCCCCTCTCTCCACTTCAGAACATTAGAACTTACCAAGCACTGACTAGCTCTGGAGAGAGTGATGGCAAAAACCTTGACTGAGGCTAGAAAACGCTGAGGGTCAGATGCCACTGGAAAAGTAGGCACACTCCAAAGTGTGCGGGTGTGTGTGGTTTCTATCATCAGAAAACATCAAAGGAAAGGGTTAGAAATAAGAAGGGTGGTGTTAGATAGTTAAGTGTCAACGTTAGCTTTATTCTCCTGTCAAATATCCCCAATGTCAATTTGTTCACACTACTACAAAGTCCAGGGTTTAATGTCATACTAGTTGTGGCCACATGGTGTCCCTCCAACTCAGTCTAAATCTTGCAGACAACTGATTCTCTCCAGTCTCCATGGAAGGACTTGAGAGAGCAGATGCCACCCCAGCCCACAGAACTGACTCCTGGCTGCTGGGGTCCTATTGTCAGAGAAAGGAAAAGGGACAGACACAGGTCAGAGCAGGGCAGCTGCTTGTTTGTTTCTAAGGTCCCAAGGGATGGTTCTGACTATGAAAGGGAGGTTAGTTAGGGCTCTCTGAAGGAGGGGACCAGCTGGAGGGCAGCTTCTTGGAAGGTGGGGCAGGCTCTCTGCAGGGAGGTCCGGAGGGAGGTTGAGTGGGAGCTGAGGAAAGAGTAAAGATAGTGATGCTACAGGAAGGAGACATGGTGGGTTTGTTTGTAGACAAAGTCCACACAATTCATAAGAAGAAACATTGACTAAATACCTCTTCTCCCTCATGTATCGTCTGAATCTTCTTGCCAGTCCAGCTCCAAGCTGTAGTGCTTAGCTGGACAGGGGGCATCAGATTTTCTAGTAGTGTTTGGATTTCCTGTGGGGATATGTTCCCACAATGCTGTACATGGAATCACCTGGAGGGCCTATTGATGGCTGTTCTAATCTTGGCAGGCCTGAAGTGGGACTGGAGAATGAACGTTTCTAGAAAGTTCTCTGATGATGCAGATGCTCCTGGTCAGGAGAACTTGAGCTGTAAAGGAATCCCTGCCGTCATATGCTCTGTCATTGTTTCCTCAGTGTTCAGAATGATGACGATTGAGATAGGGTCTCATGTAGTTCAGACTGGCCTTCAACGTCCTATGTAGCAAGGATGATCTCGATGTTCTGATCCTCTTGCCCCAACCTCCTGAGTGCAGGAATTACAGGCATGTGCCATCACACCAGCTTATGTAGTGCAGGGTATTGAGCCGAGAACTTCCTGCATTCTGTCAAAAGTCTTCCAACTGAGCTACATTCCAAGCTCCTCTTTTCTCTGTTTTAAAAGCCCCAAGACAAAATCCAAGTCTTTTCCCCTTGGTGCACTGTGACCCTGGCTTAGCCAAGGGTTGCTTTCAGAACATTTAGACCACGTGTTTCAGGGTTGAGTTGCAATAGTGACTGTCTATAAGGGACAACAGCAAGCCCCTGATGATTTGGTTCCTGTGCTTGGCTACCTTGGGTTCTCCTGGGTCCCAAGCTTGGTATTCCAGCTTTTCCCTGGTTCCCCAGTGACAACAAATTCCATTCTTTACTTAGTTAGAGTCATTACTGTTGCTTGTAATGACATCCCTGACTCAGGTTCAGAGCAGCCTGGAGGAAAGTAAGTCAAGTCAGGTCACATTCAGGTGAATGACAGAGCTGAGATTTGGAGCCAGAGTCTCTGCCTTCCAGAGAAGGGGCTCTGCTGATATGTATATAGTCCCTGCCTCTGGATCTACAGCAAATCCCCCACCTGGAATAGCCTTTTGGGAATCAATGTATTAAGTTCCCCAAACCATGGTAGCACACACGGTATGTAAAACTCTATAGTATCCCCCATTCCCAGTCTAAAGCTCTAAAACACTACACACCCATGACTAATGTTTTTCTTCAAACAAGAAAGCTTTTAGCTCTTTCTACAACTGTAGGCAGTTTACAAAATGGCAGAACTCGTGCTGTGCTTGGGCCTTTGTTGTCAGCTTCTGCTTGTTTCAGAATTTCTGAACTCCCTGAAACGGACTGATTTCCTGCAGAAATAATCTCTTTTGTTCAGATGGGTTCCTCTGCTCTCCTCCCAAACCCTCCAGTATTCCTGGGATGAAGAGGAGGAGGAGGAGGAGTATAGACATCCTGGAGTGGGAACTGGCCTTTCTCCCCTATTAAGCTCTGAGCTCCTGTGGACTGGTAGGGTGGTGGAGAGTGTGGTTCCATCTTAGCAACCGTGGTGGCTTTGAGTTTTACCTTATGCATTTGTATTAGTTTCTTATGGCTGTCACAGCAAATTAACACAAATGCCACATCTCAGAACAACACATGTTTAGTACAGACAGGTCTGGGCTGCAAGTTTGAAATGTGTTTCTGAGGTTGCTGTCAGTGGCTGTGTTTATCCAGGATGCTCCGGTGAGAATATAATCTTTGCCTTTGCAAACGTTTTGAGGCAGTCCACATAGACTAGGCTCCTAGAAACATCATTCTTGTCGCGTCTGCTGCGCGGCCTGTGTCCGAGAACGTGCGGAGGGTGTCGGGGATTGACAACACAGAGACTCGTTCAACGATGTAAAGAAAACTTTAAGCAGGCTCCAAAAAGGTTCAAGAAAACTTCCTAAGAAAGGCTCCCACCAGAGAAGCTTCTGCTCTCTCCTCTACCCTGGCTGGTTCTGCTCTGTCCCCAGAAACTGATCTGAGCGTGGCAGAAGAGGCGGTTAGTCTCTGGACAAGGTCGAGCTCAGGGTGGTTTCTGAGGGCAGGCCTTTTCCAGGAACTTAATGCCCCCAGGCATTGTATTGTTTTTAGTAAACATTGTCTTACAGCTGCCTACTCCCAGGCAGAAGGGGAAGTGGGTCTCTGCTCAAGGTCTGGTGTTCCCACAATTCACCCCTTTTTATTTTTAAATGAGGCACTCCTGGCTTAGGTCAAGTAGGGTCACCCTCCCTTTCCCGTCCTTGGGGGACCTTGAACCCCTGTCTTAGGCGGGAGGGGTCTTCCCCACAGGTGGCCCGTCATCAGAGCACCCCAACTTTAAATCATCTGTAACCAACCTTCATG